ACAAAACTTCTTTGTTAATATATATTTTTACATCTACTATCTTATGTTTGTTTTTTATGCTTATTGTGAAATATATATCATTTCTTATTCGATTTTACTCTTATATAGGCGGATATTAATTATATAGATTAATATTATAAATGCTTATCGGTATTTTATACTGTACTTTCTCGATATAAAGAAGATCTGAAGCTAAGGTGTTTGGTTCGATATATCAAGGTTTCGATATATTGAGGTATCTTACTATAATAAATCCATAATTTCAGTGGCTGATTCAGTTTATCGAGGTTATACTGTGCAAAAAATAAAATTAATTAGTTAATATTTATTTAAATACGTTGATTAGCTTATTTAAATAAAGTTAATAAGTAAATCTTTATGACTCGTTATATATACTTGTCTTTTAAATAAAATGAAATTAAATAATAAACGTTAATGAATCACTTATTTTATACAAATAATAGTGCTTTATATATATATACCGTAGACTTCCGAAATTAAGCACTCTTTTTTTGCATCTAATGCTGGCCAAGATCATTATAATGCAGGCCAAAATTGGTTTAGTGCGGGCCAGGGGTGCTTATTTTCGGAATTATACGGTATATAATTTATGAATTCGAATCGATGAATAATTTTTATGCCTCTCTTAGATTAAACTTAAATAGTAAATGTAATTTGAATCATTTATTTTAAATACATAGAACAATAAATGTTTATATACATTTTTTTAACTAGCAGTTGCATATGCGAGCGGTTTCGCCGACAGGTTTTGTGATTAAGAAGTGATATATAATGATAAATATAAGTTTAGGCTGATTTGAATACGTATATCCCTTGCACCGTTGTACAGGAAAATTTATTTACAACTTTCTGAACTGGTACATTTTTTCTGCAGAACTCGCAAAAATTATAAAGATCTTTAGCATTATAAGAAGAGCAAATCGTCCATTTAAAAAGCATTCTTCCGAAATTATTTTTGGCAGTGTATAGCCTTTTTATCTTTATTAAAATTTGTTTACTTTTCTGTGCCCAGCGAATTTGCCTTAAGTGTAAAGGGTAGATAATTGAGTAAAATCTCATTGCATGCGATAGTATCCATGTAGTTTTTGAACCGTCCGAATCTATTCAACTAGATTGACACTTGCCATGCGCAATGAGTTTGGTTTATAATTAAAAATCTATTTGGGAATTAAGATTTAGATGCATAAACATGTAATAAGTTAATACCCAGATAATTAGTTCAAAACGTGTCAATGTAAAACTGAAGATTTTCATGTAAAATCTTGTAACGTCGACTTAAATGATTCAATTCATCTGTTAAATTTACTCTCGTTTCATGGGAAGTTAAGCTACTCGAACTTTTAAAAGAAGTATTTGAACGGCCGCTGTTTGACTGTTATTATCCATCATTAATAACTTTATGAAAAGAGACCATGAGCCAACCACCATGCGTGTTCAAACAGGTAGTAAAATATCATGATTACACCGTTTAATGTTAAAGAGGGAGGTACATTCAATACGAATCAGCCATTGTATCAATGGAAGAAACCCATAAAATCTATTGAAAAATGAATTTTCGTTAATCATATTGGAATTTATAATTATTATTTCTAATGGAAAACGCACTAACTCGAAGTTAATTTATTCTATATTAATCGAATGAGAATAATACCTACCCTACTTCCTGTTGTTAATGTCTGTGCTGGGACATCTAGATTGTTGATGCCCTTAATACCTTTATCTCCATAAAGAAGAAATAGCGAGTTTATTATCATGAGATCAATAAATTTAATCTATTTGATCAATAAACACAAATCCTTCTCGCCTTTTCATTAATGTTGCGAATGATACTGAAATTTGAAGGTCTCGTTTTTAAAATAAAAGTTTACTAAAATCCACCTATACTCTTGCTAACAACAATAACACTTAACTCTTTAAACCAGCACCTCAAAAATTTTAAAAATCTCATAAAATAAATTCAAATTTCAGCGTTATCCGATTCAACGTCATTTGCAACATTAAATACCAATAACCACTAAATTTCAAAGCCACTTATCGTGACAATATTATTAAAACTTCGTACTATTATTCAATATTAAACCTAAGATCATTCTGCGAAGAAGATCAAAATAGAATAAAACCAAATTGAAAAATAAAATAGTAAGGAATAAACATACCATCTAGCCTATTGTTTATAAGCTGCAAACGTCTTTGCGAAACTATATAGACCGGGCTGGATTATATGGTTAGCACGGTTAAACGATTGGAAAAATTTATTTTGTTCGAGAGTATGAAAATCATTACATTTAATTATTTGATGAAATCTGAAGCTATATAAATAATATGACATAGTAGAATGGCACAATGATTTTCCTTTCGTTGCCATCTCATACTATATCGTACGCAAAATATCTATAAATTAGTGTTTTAAGTAACATGGTTCGCTAAATGGCTGACTAATAGCTTACTTTACGGAATCTTTCAAAAATTTAACTCGACCTTGCTCGTATTTACCTTTATTCAATATCTTTTTTTTCTCTTACTACTTATCATTGATCTTCGGCTACACTAGCTGGCTGATCATATTATATCGGTAGGCTTACAGCTGTTTTTTCATAAATTCTGGGACAATTAAAAAAAATTGCCGATGAATTGATTTAGAAATTATATGACCTTTGACAATTTTTCATTTTATGAAAACAGTGGTAATCGGTTTAGATGGCTATCTTAGCCGGCTTAAAACACCGAGAATTCTTTATGGTACGAGTACCGTTAATGCAAATATGGAAAGCGATAAAAAATTAATTTGTTATTATAAAAATCTTGAATTGATTCAAGCTTTTAACCGGCGTTAATTTAAAGTTCGCACTGCGTCAATAACGATAATAGTAATGATTAACTTTGTTGATCTGAATAAAAAATCCAATTATGACGACGGTGGGGTTTGAACCCACGCATGTTTCCATACCAGGGCCTAAACCTGGCCCCTTGGACCACTCGGGCACGTCGCCAAATTACATTGTTAGGCGATTTAATTTAATTAATATAATTATCATGTGAGTGCACTGAACAGCTACATCACTATTTGACCAATTAGAAGGCATATTGATTGGCTAATATTGACCGGAAATTAATCTATCGTTATACATATATGGTGAATTTACTAAATTCACGATTTTCACGATATAGTAAAAATAAAATAAAAATTTTCGGGCCATTTTCTATAAATAAATTCTATAGGCTCGTAGAATTCATTTAAAAAACTTTCATAGAATTGATAGTTGTCGAGAAACCTCTGTTCAAATTTTAGAAAACTTAGTTACAATTAGTATTGCATGCTGATTCCAGCCTAAGGAAAATAGATTTTGCCATGGCTGAAGCTATACTTGCTGACAAAACCTGGACAAATCCCAAATCTTAAAAAAAATAAGGGCTAGTTATAAAAATTAATGAAAAAACTTTTGATATTTTGCAAATATATCCTATGAACATATCTCATTTGTATGAGATTTGAGAGGCAAGTATAACTGAAGCTGGAAATTGGACTTATTTTAATATGAAAATTTTAAAATTTTTTGAGATGTTTTTTCTTCTATGGTTAAGTGGATTCATAATTTTAATGTTATTTTCAGCTTCAACCTCGATAATTATTTTTGGAATACGAAACATTTCACCTGAGTAGATAAGGTTTCCAAGGCGAACTACGCTAGCCATAGTTACTTTTCAAGTGACGGTTATTTTTTTTTAGTGTATCAGATGTAGATTAGATTTACTGTTCACGCTATAATCGGTAACAAATTAGTCGAAGGTTAAACTTGATGTAGCGTAACGGGTCATACATGTAGTCACCATTCCTTTAAAGTACCAAACTCTCGATTAGAGTTGGGTAATCTGTGTAATTTCAAAAATGTTGATGCAATTTAGTAAAGCCCGAAATTAAAAAACTTGCTATGGGTTTTATATTTTTAAGCTTATCAAAAGTTCGTATGAATCTTTTTAATTAATTACAAATCTAAAGACAGTGAATTGACTTAAATATAAAGACAAATATGTGACTTCATTAAAATATTTCGTTAAAGACAACTCCAATCTATAAAATGTCGACATTTTGCCAATATCCCGTTTGGCTATTATTTTTGGTAATAAGCTTAATACTTACATCTGCATTAAGGTCGCATAGTTGCTAAGTATCGATTGATAAATACTGTACTAGTAGTATGGCGCGTCTCTAGTAAAGATTACGATGGCTGAGAATATAATAAAATTCCTATCAAAATGTACTGTAATAAAGATGAAGCTTCACTAGTATTTACTAGGGAATTTACTCACATACGATTTTTCTTGATACTATCAATGATCACGTTTTGACCTACACATGATAATATCATATAGTTGCAAAAATGCTCGTGAGCGTTATTTTGGAAATTACATCATTTAAAACATCCTATTTAAAAATACGATGTACGTCTCGAAATAACGCGTACTTTGTACATTTATTAGCATATATTAAGTCCAGAATTTTGACTCTTTATTTCAAAATAATTGCATATAATTACCTCAAAATAATCGAGAAAGAACTTTATTTTGCGACTATGTGATACAACATTCCCTAATATTGCAGAGAATTTCGACTACTAATAAAATTTTTTTATATGAAAAATTTAATGAAGGTATTATGCACATTAAATAGCTGTGGCTGATTAAAATGAAAGCAATATTTAAATGAAATTTTAATTAGGTCATGTCAAAATTTTTTTGGAATGCATTTTTTCAGGAATTAGGCTAGAATTTTTAATAAGAGTATAATAAGCCTTAAAAAAAATAACAAATTCACTTTATTTGATTTATTATGATCTGCGATTTATTTATAATATTTGGTGTAATATAAAGTAATTTATAATTTAAATACAGTAATAAATGAATAAAAAAATAAGATCTAATATAAAGAATAAAAAGTTTTATTGATCCAAGAAATCATAAATACTATTTTTACAGCTGATTTAAAAATCCACTGTTACAATTCTACCTTCAATCATTGGTGCAACAGTGACCCAGTCCCTTACAAAATCTGCTTTCTTTGGTATTGTCTCCACTGCTGAAGTGGATGTAGATATTACATCATTATCTTCATCTTCTATCTTCACATATTCACCCATAGAGAGAGAAAGCGCATTACTAATTCTTTTGCGAGATACGTTTCCATACGCTGATTTCTCTCGTTTAGTTTCTGCAAGCTTTTTCCACGAATTCGCGGCCTTCAAAACAGCTTCATTTGTGCGTTCTTTAAAATTCATATTATACTTAATTGCATTAATGTAATAAAGGCCAATGAAATATCGTCTGATTAAAGTGGAAAGGATAATTCCATTTTCATCATCCACAAGGTATTTTGTAGTTGGTTCAGCAAAAGCCTTGTAACCATCATTACCTGAAGCCAAATAAGCACGAGTGCAAACTGTGTATGTCTTTTGCATATCAAGTTTTCCAATAATTCGATGTGGACCAGGATCTTCAGATATGTTTTCATCTTCTTCATCATCTGCTATGGAACTTTGTCTCTCAGTAAACCATACATTTCGCAAACGATCACCAGGTTCCGCATTACGATTATATTCTACTTTCAACCCACTTACAACTGGAAACCGACCTTCCTGTTTAGGAACCATTGAAACGGCACTTTGTAAAACGTCCCATAACTGACGTCCAGTAACACGAATAACAACAACTGTATCTTCGAACGGAAATATTTCGAGTAAATCACCCAATGTGATTTCTCCATCATATATTGAATCCGATCTAATAGTTCCAGCACATAAGATAGCACAATCAATATTATGAGGAATACATGGTTGATAGGCATAAAACATTAAATCCGCAACAAAATTTGCAAATGCTGTCTCTTGTGTACGAAGGTTTGAAGAACGACAATCCCATTGTGTCATGGTGTAAGCTATAGGCTTTGACATTTTTGCCCTCATTTCCGATGTTTCCGAAGCAACCAGATTTGCATGATGTTCATCTTCAACAATAGATGAGGTAACTTCTCGTCGTGTCACTATAAATTATAATAACTTTATTATGAAAACGTTTTTTCATCAGACTGATTAAACTCAAATCGTTAAAATGGATAATAATAACAAACCATTTATAGTTTTTATTCTTTTATGGGTTCGCCCTTCTTCATTGGTGGTTTCATCAATATCAAGTTCCACGATACTTAATTCTCTGAAGTCAGTTCCACTCTTCACAACTCGTACGCCATCATCACCCTTAGCATCATCATCAGAACCTGCAAATTTTCCTTCTTCTCTAGACCATCCATTAATAACATTACATCCTTTACCAATGTAATAAAAATGATCGTGTCTATTTGAAAAAATTTTGTAAATTACATGAAACAAATTTAATATAGAATTAAAATAAACAATTAAGATAATCATTTGAATAAATTACCCTCCAAGAAACAAATCAATATCATTTTTACATTCTTTAGCAAGTAGAATGTCATTCGATAGCCGACAGTGTGTGAGAGCAATAACAAGGTCAACAGCGTGAGGACCGTTGGGGTCACGCAATTGTGTAGAAAGTTCTTTTCCAACACTTACAAAATCTTTATATTGAATATCTGATGGAAGATTAGGAATGGTTTCAAGCCATGCTCTAGAAAAATAAAAATGGTTCATAAATAGAAATTAATCAAATGATTGGGTAAACATTTAAAAAAAAGTTGAATCAAATATATTATGATTATAATTTTACTTTTCTACCAATCCTACAATTCCAAGTTTGAGTCCACCCTTTTCCAGAACTACAAATTTTTTACTTCCGGCTGGAGATTCATCAGTTTTCGAATCAACAACATTAGAGAGAAGCCAAGGGAAATTAGTCAGTGAAATCAACCCTTTAAGAGTTGGTAATCCAAAATCGAAATCATGATTTCCAAGACAAGCCGCATCAATTCCGTAATCATTCAATGATGGTACCTAATTTAAAAAAATAACCATAATTTATAGTTGATTTACTAATCAACAATAATTAAAAAAAAAAGGGGATCGATAATCGAAATCGAAGGATACCATGTGCAATCCTTTACTAATGCTACTTTCAACTGATGGATTAAAAGCATCGCCGCTGAAGAACACGTAAGAGTTTTCAATACCATAATTTTTACGAAATTCTTTGACCACCGTAGCAAACCGAGCAGCACCACCAACAGGTTCACGCTTTTGTGGCAAGAGATGATATACATCATTAAAATGAAGAATTTGTAAACTAGGCATTTTAAATTGAATCAAGTTTAAATTGCTTAAAGTTCGATTTGAGAGAAGCGGTGTCTCTTTTCATATGTTTTTTTTATGACTGTAACACGTAGCACATGTATGTATGCATTAGCACGCACGTACATCTAAAAATTGCTCTATTCAACATTCGTTATTTACAAATGTTACAGCTAAATAGAGCCAATACAATCGGGCTACTAAGAAAATTGCACCAATTCCCGACCTTTCAAATTATGTACGTACGTACGTACGTAAATATGTAAATGCTACTGCACCTACGTATTAAAAGTTAATGACTCAAATCATATTTTAGAAACTTCAATGACATAAAGACAGTTTAGCCTTAATGGTAAGCAAGTAGTGATGCAGTAGAATCGTCCCAATGATTGTCGTAACACTTGCCGTAACTATAGTAAGTAATATAGTAAGTTACGGCATTATAGCCGTAACTTATTATATTACTTACTATAGTTACGGAAAGTTACGACAATTATAGGGACGATTCTACCGCATCATTAGTTGCAAGGATTCATGAATTTCATTCTAAAACGATAGATAGGATCGATCCCGGATCAAAATTTTCACGGCAATTCGTTGTCATATTCGGAAATTAGATGTTGATATATGATTTTGTAACAATCTTTATATTCCATTATTTTATCCTACACTCTGTTTGGAATTATCGTCTTAATATTACCTGAAATACTATAGTACATAGCATATCGATATGCGTATATATATATATGCGCGACGGCGATCGTTAAATTCTGTCACTTCACGGGATTACCCGATATTTAGTTATCGTTAGGGTTTAAAATTCAGCAGATCTATTGACGATCTTTAACTGAAGATTTCCCATAATAAGATTCAATAAAAATTTTTAAGGTAATTATTTATTTAAGGATTAATCTAAACCCCGCAGGGGGCAGTATTCTTATTTTTCGCTATTACGACTTGAACCAAACAGATCGTCAACTTTGTGTAATGAACGAATGAAAAACCAAATATTTTAAATTATAAGATATCATCAAAAAATCAAAAGAAAAAACAAACTTTGTAAATATCTTAAAATTTTATTAAATCACCTTTCGGCTTCTAAGCAAAAATGTACAGCACGAAATTTTACTATGAGCTATTGTCAAAATAAAAAAACCCGCTAACTTCTATGATCTACGAACTAACCAATCGAGATGCGATATATATGCAGATTGCATAATGCGATCTATAACTTAAATTTTTGCATTTTTTAATTCTACGTACAATCTTATAATTGCTTAAAAAAATTTCATTAGTAATTTTCGAGAAATCTTTGATTAAAGTTAAAAAACTGAAAATTTGAAGGTTCTTGTTCACATCTTGCACTTAACACTAAAATGTTAGGAATCATATTACAGTCGATACTGTCTAAATGCATACTGCATACTTGCTAAATGCATAATTGTTAAAGAAAATTTAATAGTCATATGCATAAAATTAATTTTTTGCATTTAGATAGTATCGACTGTATACAGATCTTTTCTTAACTAATGTAACGATCTTTTATATAGATCCTTATATTATATCAAAAAATTTCAGTGTTTCTGGCTGAAATATACACGTGACACATGAGATTCGTTAGCGTTAGCATTGAGGGGTTTCAGAATTCGAAAATAAGTAGGAGCTTAAAAATCTTATTTGTATATCAAAATTTTGAAATCGGAAAATGAAATAGGAGTGTTTAAAGACTCCCATTTAATGAAATAAATAAATTTTTCAACGACAAAATTATTATTACAATTTTATCGGAAAATGAAATAAAGTCGACACATCGCTCATTCGAATACGTTATCTATTTATGTCAAAATTAGATTTCCGCACGTTAATTCTTAAATTCATTAATAAAAACTTTATTTATAATAATACAATATATGGAATATATGTGTTTAATAAACATGATTTGTTATTTTGATGCTTAATGTGTATTTTTATTTTTTGGTAATCGATAATTAACCAATCATATTTTTTTATTTTTACAAATTTGAATGTTATGTTTTTACGGAAGCCAGTTTTATCAAAATTTAGTTATTCTTTTTTTGTAAAACTGGTGTATTAAATGTTGGAATGTAATATTCATCCTCTCAATTATTTTCTGTTTCACTTGTTTCACTTTCTATTTCGCTACTATCATCTTCACTTTTATCATAGTCACTATTGTCACTTTCATCATCTTCATCATCTTCGTCTTCTATACTTTCTTTGTCATATTCACAGTTCATTTCTTTAAAAAATTTCATTTTCTTTATATTTCTTCTATATTACTTTTAAAAATTTGAACAACTTCAATTACTTTTAATAAATTCGATCCTTTTTTAAATGGGACTTTAATTTTTGCCAATCTTCTTATATGAAACATTGGTAAATATTTTTTGTCAACAATTAAAAATTCTAATTTTGTTCCTAATGAAAATTATAACTATATAAATAAGCAATGAAAATTTAAAAATATTTGATAATATTTACTAACCATATGAATGTAACAAAAAGATTTTTAAATCTAACATGTTAAAATTGGATGTTTTTGAGTAATTTCTTTGTATACTGTCTAATGAATCTTTTGCTTCTTTATTCAGTTTAATTCTGTCTTCAAATGTATGCTTGTAAGTTTCATTAAATGGTCCATATGATATCTCTCCAAGTATTAGTTCTAATTTATATTGTTCATTTCTATATATGCCAAAAATATCATACTTTTTAATTAGGCCTTTATTGTTATTTCTATTTAAGCTTATCTTACTAGTTACTATATTTCTTTATAAAAAAAAAGAATAAAAATTTAATTGTTGATTTATATAAGAAGGATAAAATTTCATAGGTACAAATTACTATTAATTTATTATAATTATAAAAATTTTTTCCTTTATAGCTAACTATTTTTTTATTATGCTAATATATTTTATCTTTCTAATTAAAAATATAGAGAATACTTTTTTATATATAATACAAAAAAAATTATTAAATTTTTTTTTTTTTTTTACAATTCTCAGCAGCCTCGTCAGTATCTTTTATTAGATCAAAGTATATATGTATACATATATTAAACTATCTAAGTTGCAGATCTGACAT